TCCCCTGTTCCGGTATAAGTTGACAAATAAGCAAATTTTTGTTATTGTGTATCGCATGTTTTCTTCTACATTAGAGCCCGTGGGCAGCAAGGCGCCAGCATTTACGGGCGATGTAAAGGGTGTGTGGATGGAAAAGACGAGAGCATCTAGTATCGTATTACCGTGCCCTGCTCAGGGATACCCTGTGCCCTCTTTTAGGTAACACATTGTTGTTTTTACGCGAATCTCTCTTAACTTAAAACGTGTTGTACGTCGATAGAACCTGTTGGTACTAAAGCACCGTCGATTTTGGGGGAGCAGGGCAACATGATGAAAAGACGTACCGGCACACACATCGTAATTCTTTGCCAAGGGCAAGCTTATCCTGTGCCCTCATTCAGGTAAATCAAACACGAGTCAATTTCACTAGAAACAGACTGATATTTTTAAACTAATTTTCTGATCAATTTCTTTACTTACAAAAAAAAGTAGTAAAGAGTTTGAGTCAAATTAAAACTGAACGATTGCGCGAATGAAGCACTTTGTTACTTTTTTGTTTTTCTCATTTTATTTCTCTATGCGTTGTTTTCCGCGCTGATTTTCCGCTCCGTTTCTTGCCACCGAAGGGGTCTCCTGTTCCATCAAAAAGGTTATAAAAAAACAAGCGCATTCGTGTCGAGTAAAAATATCTTGCTAAACTGTCGTTGCATAAATAATTAGAACCAGTCGGAAGTAAAGCTCCAGCGATAACCGGCACTGTGAAGGGCGTATTGATGGAGACCGGAGCGGGAACCGCTGTCGTATTGTTTTGCCCAGCGCAAGGCTATCCTGTACCCTCATTTAGGTAATAGCACAGCACTAAAAAAAAAAAAAAAAAACATAACTAGATTTTCTTTAGAATTTTCTTATTTCCACTTTCAACAAATTAACCGAACCTTTAGACTTCGCGATTATCTATATTCTACGTTTATGTATTGATTTAAAGGAAAACGTTTATTTGATTATAATTATCAGAGATCAGAAATTTTCGATTCATTATTCGTATAATAAAAACGAGCATTAATTTTTTAATTAAAATCAAATAACAGCTTCGTTATGCAGATTATTTGCCCAAATGATTCGTATAATTGATTTTTTACGAAGTTCGAGTTGGCTTATTGTTTGCACGTTTGTAATCGTTAGAGCCAATTGGAACTAAAGCTCCGGCTCTCAACGAGTTAAGAGCGGGATGGTTGAAGAAAAGATCGAGCTCCGATGCTGTGTTGTCGTGCCCGGCGCAAGGCTATCCTGTACCCTCTTTTAGGTAATGTCGCAAAGCACGTAATTGGATCTGTTTATTTTAATCTTCGTTTGCAAAAATGTGCGCACAATCGTAATCTTACGAAATCTGAGTTGGCACACACATATGTAATCGTCAGAGCCGATCGGAACTAAAGCTCCAGCTCTCACAAGCGAATTAAGAGGGGGGTGGCTGAAGAAGAAAGCGAACTCCAGCGCCGTATTGTCGTGCCCAGCGCAGGGATATCCTGTACCCTCTTTTAGGTAAAGTTATCGCATTTAACGAACACGTGTTGCGTGTGTATCACTTTTTCTTTTATCTCGCGGTGACTTTTGTCCCGTTAGAACCGGTAGGCAGCTAAATGTCGATAATGAAAGACGTCTTGAAAAGTAGATAAGAAAAGGAAAAGAGCAAAAAAAGAAAGTGCTTTATTATTCTGTCAGACTTAAAATCTCGTGTCCAGTTTTAGGTAAACTTATTTAAAATCATTATTGCAACGACACGTGTGAGGTACGTCTTTGTTTATTAAAAAAAAAAAAAAAAAAAAAACCATCGCATTACGAAACCCAGTGTGGTGTTGCCACTTGCCCTGTTCAGGGCCACCCTGTGCCCAGTTTTAGGTAACTTCGCGCGTTTTATTTTTGCGCCGTTCTCTCTCAAATCAAAACATATTGTACAGAGCCTGTCGGTACTAAAGCGCCCTCGATTTTGGGGGAGAAGGGCAGTCTGATGGAAAGACGCACCGACACACACATCGTAATTCTTTGCCAAGGGCAAGCTTACCCTGTGCCAACATTCAGGTAACAATTGACTGACACGGTTTTTCTCATATAATTAACGAGAAACAGTTGACGCCTTACGATAGTTTCTTCGGTAGTTCTGTTGCGTAATAAGAGGTTGTAATGTTTTATTGCGCGTAAAGTGCCAATAGGCAGTAAGGCGCCCTCCGTCACGGGTGACGCAAAACGATGGCTGCAAACTAAATCGGCGAGCGGATTCGCGATGCAGTGCCAAGCGCAGGGTCACCCGGTACCAGCTTTCAGGTAGTTAGAGCGTAATTACGCCTTTTTTTATTGATCGTCAATTTGTGATCGTTATTTCATTCAGAATTTATGCCAACAGAATGTTATGAAAAGACTATTTAAAAGGCTCATTCTATGCGCGCATCAAGAGTTTTCTTTTCATATAAATCATCTTTCCGCGAAATTTGTTCTTTACGTTAAAGAACAGTTTATGATTTTGCACAATCCTTGTATTGTCAGAACCAATGGGAGCAAAGGGACCAAAATTCTCGAGTGACGATCGCAGTCATTCATTTATACGCGCCACAGGAAGCGCATTGAGTTTACAATGTCCCGCACAGGGGTTCCCTGTTCCATCGTTCAGGTGTGTACTTGAGAAATCTCGACACGCATATTTGCTGTAAAATGCGTATTTTCTTTCGTTCCGCTGCAGAGCCCGTGGGATCAAAGGCGCCCGCTTTTCAAAGTGACGCGAAAAGTAGTACTTATGTAAGAAATGCAAAATCATCACTCGCGCTAATTTGTGCCGCTCAAGCATCGCCACCTCCAACTCACAGGTAACGAATTGTGAACATATTAATTTTTTTTTTAAAAAAACATTTTTAATTTCTTCATTAGAAAAAAGATTACGAAGATTTTTAATAAATTAATTCAGAGAAATGGCGGTGGCGCGTTCTGTCCTTATTACGCAGATGTTAAAGATTTACTTTAAGCGATCCACACAACATAAATTTTATTTGCACATTAGAGCCAGCAGGTCGTGTATCCCCAAAATTTCCGAAATCAGCAAAATCCGATTCTTTCGAAGTGGCGACTGGTGCCGTAATAAGTTTGTTGTGCGATGCACAGGCGTTTCCTGCTCCCGCATTTAGGTCAGTTCATCAACATGTTTAATTAACTTCCGAATATATTCTGCATTTTTTACACTTTTTTTATAATTTGCAAATTACGTAATAAATTTTGATTGGCGGTGGCGTGTCCTGTACTGATATGATAATTAAAAAAAAAAAAAAATAACAAGCTTTGTTCTCGCGTTAGAACCGGCAGGTCGTGTGTCTCCGAAATTTCCAAAAATGGCAAAGAGCAATTCCTTCGAGGTAGCAAACAATGCCGAAATCAGTTTATTGTGCGATGCACAGGCATTCCCTGCTCCCGCATTTAGGTCAGTCTAGTAATAAATTTTGTTGCATTTCCGTAGAGTTTCTTCCTAAATAATCAATAAAAAAGTAGTTTCGTAACATTATCGTTCTGTAGAACCAATAAATGGCGCCAAGCCTAGAGTCGCTTCCACATCTAAATATGATGTCCTTGCAAATACCATTGGAGCAGCTGTAACAATGCTGTGCCCTGCGCAGGGACACCCTCTTCCAGCTTATAGGTATTTACGATTATTACTCTGCGAATATTTTTCTCTCCATCAAATTGATTAGATTCTTATACGTAAAGATATGCCTTCGATATCATTCCTCTCATTTATCCGGGAAAGAGACAGTTTTAGATGATCGATCAATAGGATAATATCGATTTGTTTTATCGCTCTGTTATTTGTGTACTTAGAGCCAGTTAGTGGCGCGGCACCGAAAGTATCGCCAACAGCTAAGATAACTGTCTTCTCAATCGCGTCGCGAAATACCATCACAATGTTGTGTCAAGCTCAAGCGAATCCACTTCCCGTCTTCAGGTATGCTGATGCAGATTAATGATGCGAATATTGACTCGTTGATTGAAATTTCCGTAGAACGAGAATTAAATGGTAATACGGTGGCTCTAAATAAAATTTCGTCGCTATATTTATGCAGAATTTGTAAGAAATATTTTTAATTCAAGATTTTTCCATTCAAGATAAGAAAACGTTGGAAGTTCGTAATTGTTACGTATCAATATTCTTTAATCGTCGTGAAACATTGAGATTTGTTTATGTAAAAAAAAAACAAGAAATGCATCTTGCCGATCATGTACTTCGGATTAAAATACACGATGTGAAGATATCGATTGACTCTTGAGATTCTGGTGAATCTTTCGCCCTTTCCGTTTTTAGAACCGGTTGGAAGTAGTCCACCTCGATTGCCGCCTAGATCCAAATTTGACGGAATGGTAAAACTCGAAGGTCAAGCAGTTACATTACTATGCGAAGCTCAGGCCAATCCATCGCCTTTGTTCAGGTGAGCAAAGTCGAGCATATAAATCTAACTTATCCAAACATAAATTAAATAAAAAATATTTATACTTTGACTAATAAAATTATGAAGAAGACAGTATCAATCGATATCTTTACATTGTATGAAACTCGCTTCTGTTTGCCGTGCATCAACGGAGCGTTTGATAGTTACAACAAAGACGACGATGACGATGATGATAATGATAGCCGTCGCGTTCCCCATTTTTTCCATATTTGCGATATTACAGAACCGCGAGGAAGTGTACGTCCGAACGTACGAGACAAGGATGTGAACGGATTGAGGAGGGACATTCAAATTGAACGGATGGTTGGTCTACCGTGTCCTGTTCAGGGTTTCCCAGCTCCCGCATTCAGGTACAGGCATTTATAAGCCGCATTTAGCTGTGCGATATTAAATTGTTTGCAACAACAAATTACTACAGAAAATTTAGATATTAATCGCAAAAGAAAAAGATTTTAAAATATAACTCAATAGAGCAAAAAAAAAAGCACGTTCTTTCCGTTGTACTAGCTTGTATCTTTGTATCGATTTTACTTACAGAACCGACCGGCAATGTCGCACCACGCATTGCCGGTGAGCGTTACGAAGGTCACAAGCTAGTAGACGTACCAAAAACGGGTATGGCGGCTTTGGACTGCGCAACTCAGGGGTTTCCTGTCCCATTAACGAGGTGATGAAGATTGCTGAAAACCTTCTGTTTTTTTTTTTTTACGATACCATTTCAGAAGGTACAAACAAAATAGCGCCGCGATCATCTGGCAAGAAATTCGGATTTGAAGTTGTTCTAGTTACTGAAGGTCAGGACGTCGCTTTGAGCCATTCGTTTCAGGGATACCCTGTACCTCTCACAAGGTAGACTTTGCATTAGGACCTCCTCTAAATCCGTTTTCTATTTCTTGTCATCATCGTCATCTACGTAATAGGCGAATAGGTACATTATTTTGGGATTAAGAGCGGATAGTAATCCATACAAGGTTTATTCAAAGCTTATTTACTACACGACGCTTACGTTAAGTATAGCAGACTTGTTAAAAATTGCAAAAAATTTTTTTCCAAGTCATTATTTTATAATTGTAAGTGTCACACGGTACATTTTGTTAGATATAAAGCAATCTTTGAGTCTGTTCAGCATCTGGCGAAATTGGCATTATACTGTCAGGTGAGTAAAGTGCATGCAAATTCTATTAAGTCAAAGCAGAAATGGATGCAATGGCGTACGTAATGTACGGGGTACGTATAACAAAATTCTTAGTCGCACCGAAATTTTAAATAATTTTGGGGGTTAAATCAAGACAAAGAGTACAAAAGAAATTTGATCAAAGAAATGAAACTCTTAGTTTGGACAATTTATTTATTACAGAACCGTCTGGTCGTACTGCCCCGAAGGCGACTGGAGACGGTCTTAATAAGTACCGCGGGGTAGAGGGCGAGTCTCTGGCGCTGGCGTGTGCGGCACAAGGCTTTCCTGCCCCGATAACTAGGTACACACACCTTCGTATAGATCTCTGTTTTCCCTAATTTGGACGTAGTCTCATGCTCCGCGGGGCACAGATCCTTGTATTCACACATTTGATATTTTCCATCCTTACCCTCTACCCCGTGTCGAGTGGCGGTACCTTAAGATTCGACAGGGGCAAGAAGACAGACAACAGATAAAGTGTTTTTTGTAAAACAAGGTTTTTATTAAAAATATGTATCAGGATTAGGAAGAAAAACATAGAAATGTTATTAAATCACGCAAAAATGTGAGAGAAAGAGTATAGAGAAAAAGAGTACACACAGAAAAAAAAAAGGAAAAGAAGATGAAAAAACGAGAGTGTGGCCGTGAGAAAGTGTAAATCAGAACACAGATTGGGAGGAAGAGAGGTCAACTGTTCGGTAAAACTCATGTTTTTCCTAATTTTCGTATGATAAATTCGTAATTTCGGCAATCATTTTAGTTCGAAAATCATTTTTACGAAACACCTCGCAAACTAAACGAGAATCAAAGCGATAGCGTTAACTGACGAAATGTGTATCCCTTTAACCGGGGCCAATCGGACGTGTTGGTTTTCAGTGCCAACTGGATTCTCCCCCGGGAGCAACCCTCGAGAATAGGTGACGGAAGCGCGACCTCGAAAAGGATGCGGGCCCTCTGCTCCCCCGGTATCCTCGGTGCTGATCCGGGTGGTCCGAGGGGGCATCACTCGATCAATGGGGCAGTCAATGTTGCCCTACACCTGCACACCTCCAAATAAGTCCCACAATATCTGGCTGGTAAGTCCTCGCCACCTTCTCTCGTGACTCCGTTCATCCGCTCGTGTTAATTCATTTCCCCACCCTCTCTTTCTCTCACTTCGTTCAGAAAGAAAAAGCGGAGAATCGAGCCTTTTTTTTCACGTCGTCCAAGTGCACTATCGCCATTAAACGTACCGCCAGTTCACCATCACTTTTGCTCCCTATCCAAATCGCTTTCCACACTATTTCCATTTACTTGATTATATATTTCGACAATATCTCGTCTATATAACTCCCAATAGGTTTATAATAATTGAACTTGTTACAAGACAAAAAAAAAACTCTTTGACGATTTTATATTGAAATGTCGTTTGTGTTGAGATATTGTTGCTTAGACATGTACGAAAGTGACCCTGCACTAGCACTTGCGTCCAACAGCCACATCGAACTATTGCTGCTACGTTCGTTTGATTCATTTTTATTACTGTTTCTTTTTCCCCGCCTTATATCAGCGACAATTACAAACAATTGCATACAATCACGGAGGAATCAAAATTGCGTAATTTGCTTTCATCCTCTGCAGTCGCTTCTCACCTTTCTTCTCTTTAGGGATTTTTGTGGCAATACTTACGCGCGAATACTTTTTTTACTTGTGTTTGTTTTTACTTTACTAAATCGTTCGTATCGTCGCTGCCAGATCTTTGTTGTTTCGTTGCATCCATTTGCATCGCTTTTCGATCGTGAGGTTTTGGTTGAAAACTCTCTTTTGATTGTCGATTATGATTTTGTTGAAGTTGTTATCTCGCGTGAGAGATATAATACCGACAGATCAGTGGAAGAAACGGAAGGCCGTGCCCAGAGACGCCCAAAGCCCCGCATATATAGAACAAAGCGTAAAAAAAGCGTAGAATGGAGCAAAACTGCGTTAGTGCATTCGCTAAAATTCATTTGTTTTTCATTCATTCTCATCTGGCCAGAACTTTATTATATGATTGAAAATAATGAATATTCACAAGATAGCTTTGAGATAAAGAAATATTTCGCGTATAAACAATTGTATTGTAAAAACCAGAAATATTTTAAATCTATTGTTCCATTTTGCGAGATATAAACTTTGATTTACACTATAATAAATAATAAAATCGCAAAACGAGCAAATCTCATTCCAAGGGTAGAAGCGCGAAAATCGGCACAATTCTTTTTCTTTTGTTTCAGATGGTACAAGTTCATCGAAGGCACATCGAGACGTCAACCGGTCCAGTTGAATGAACGCGTACGCCAGGTTAGCGGAACTCTGATCATTCGTGAGGCTCGAGTCGAAGATTCCGGTAAATATCTCTGCATCGTCAACAATTCCGTCGGCGGCGAAAGTGTGGAAACCGTTTTGACTGTCACGGCACCATTGATCGCGGAGATCGAACCGAGCGTGCAGACCATCGACTTCGGAAGACCGGCAACCTTCACTTGCACAGTTCAAGGCAATCCAATCAAAACCATCTCTTGGCTCAAGGACGGGAAGCCTCTTGGATTGGAGGACCGCGTATTGAGAATCGAGAGTGTGAAAAAGGAGGACAAGGGAATGTATCAGTGTTTCGTTAGGAATGATCAAGAAAGCGCGCAAGCGACCGCAGAATTAAAACTTGGTGGACGATGTAAGTAAAATTATCACGTTTTTTTTTTTAGATTTAGACGAAGAGATGTCTTTGTTGAATTGAATTTTAATATCTTCAAATAATTTCTTCAATTTGATATTTGATGTTCGAGTGGTTATTTATTTATCTGCAATTTATATAGAAATATATAAAAAAAAATTGATTTTGCTGTAATTACAATGTTCTGATTTTTCTTAAATACCAAATTATCAAATAAGAACTTGTTAGCGAATATAAAAAGTAGATTGTGTCAACAGGTAATTATACCTTTCTGTCTCTTTGATTATTGACAGTTGAACCGCCGCAAATTCGTCAAGCCTTCACCGAAGAGACTCTTCAGCCTGGACCGAGCATGTTTTTGAAGTGTGTTGCTAGCGGAAATCCCACCCCCGAAATTAGCTGGGAACTTGATGGAAAACGGTTGTCAAACACCGAGAGATTGCAAGTGGGACAATACGTCACGGTCAATGGCGATGTCGTGTCTCATCTGAATATTTCGAGCATTCATACCAACGACGGTGGACAATACAAGTGCATTGCTGCATCAAAGGTTAATACTTGTATTGTTTTTTTAGTTTAATCGTTATTTTACAAAATTACAAAAAACAGACTAAAAAGATTTTTATCTAAGTTTATTTCATAATTAGTGTAATAAATATTTTACTTTTGTCACAAGTTTAGATTAAAAAAGTCTGGAGAACGTTTCAAGTAACGTGAGCAATGCGTACTTTATGTTACAGGTCGGATCCGCCGAGCATTCTGCGCGTCTTAACGTTTTCGGTTTGCCATTCATTCGCCACATGGACAAGAAGGCTATCGTTGCTGGAGAAACTCTGCGCGTCACATGTCCGGTTGCTGGATATCCGATCGATACTATCGTCTGGGAGCGAGACACCAGAGTCCTGCCGATCAACAGAAAGCAAAAGGTCTTCCCGAACGGTACTCTCATAATCGAGAATGTCGAGCGAATGAGCGATCAGGCGACTTACACTTGCGTAGCACGCAACGCACAAGGTTACAGCGCACGCGGAACATTGGAAGTTCAAGTCATGGGTAAGTTTGAAAAACTTTATTTCCTCGTACATCTCTCGCGAAATTAATCGGTATTTTGTAACAAAATTAATCGATATACTTTTTAAATAAACGCGGACTTTTTATTAAAAAGTATCGAGATAATTTGTATCAAAATCTTTGATACAACAAAATTTAGATTAATTTTTAACGTTCTGAGAGTTTAACGTAAATTCAACGAAGTTTTAATGTAAAATCTATTATAATATTGCAATGAAACTTTCAATGTAAATATTCGCAAATCAAAGATGGAATAATTTTCGTTGGTTTTGATAACTTCGAACATTTGTAGCTTAATATCTAATTGTGGTTACATATCTATTTGATTCTCTTATAGTTTAGCAATTAATTATGTGAATATTCTTTACTATTATAATTTATTTCTGAATATTTCGAAAACGAAGGATACAATTGCAGCCAATGACCGATCGCTGACCAATCGACGAGATGATAATATTAGAATAGCGAACAGAGTTATTTGCAGCTACTATCTTTGCAGCGGGACTGTGTCTTTTATTAAACGTTGTTGTGTCGTACCGCCTCCCGTATTGAACATATGGCAGTGCCGAAGATGTCAGTGAATTGTTTGTTTTTTTTTTTTGTTTTTTTGAGGATGTGTCATATCGCGTATAGGAATTTTATCGTCGATTCTAAAAGGGTACGACTGTACGTAGGACACACGGGCACGGACTCGGACACGCGCACGAATCAATCCCGCGTAGCCAGCGTAACAACTACTTAATAACGTAGAACACAAAACGTACATCGACTCCAGAGAAGATACGCATTCGTGGAAAGTTTGAGGAGTTGGTATGGCGATGGCCGACTGAATCGTTAGTATAGAACTCTGTCTAATGCGCTTGTTTCACATCTCTTCTCTCATCGCCGCGTCCTTCTCGTGTAGTAACAAGTGCCATGTGTCCGTGCATGTTATAGGCATAGCACGATCAAAGTAAATATCTTCAAATATATCTTTGCTGAAGATCTCGAACATGTCCGCGACATGTGCATTAACGTTCATTAGAATTATATTAAAAAAAAAAAAAAAAAATGTTGAACAAAAAAAAAATCGAATTTGAAATTTGATCTTCATTGTCTATAATATACACGTGGAACATATAACGCGGACGATACATACTCCGATACACACATACGCGACCTAATCGTATATACATCCATACACTCATCCATCCTCAGTGCCGCCCATCGTTCAGGAGTTCACGTTCATGAAGCTACCGATGAACGCTGGGGAGTTTGCAAATCTGCAGTGTATCGTGCCGACCGGCGACCTGCCGTTGAACATACGTTGGAGCTATCCCGGTGAAGAGATGGGCGGTTCCTCTGGCGTAATCGCGAAGAAGGTCGCGGATCGCGTTAGCATGCTCATGATCTCGATCATCACCGCTAGACACGCGGGGGAGTACGTTTGTACTGCCGAAAACGCGGCTGGAACGGCGTCTCATTCGACCATCCTCACCGTCAATGGTTCGGGACTACGATCTACGTTCCCTAGAGAACACAGTCTTTTTCATTCTTTATTTGCGTTTTTGTCCTTTTTATTCTCGTTCCTGCACAGACCTTGCAAAAACAGCACCATATAGTTATTTCCTTTGTTGTTTGCCAATCCCCTTTTCCGCGTCGGTGTTATTAAATCCTCCGCCTCTGTCCTTTGAAGATTTTAAAATGCAATGATCAACGAATAGTTGACCGATAGGTGTCTACTAGAGCCGGCAAAAAAGGTGATTTCACAGATGACATTGCGAGAATGAAGCATGATCGTTTGTTTGATGACACCTCTAGTCGGGCCGCAGCTTCTACCCATTACCTTCAATACCGAAGTCGCCAATTGGGGAGATTCCGTGTCCGTGCCCTGCTCAATCCTGAAGGGCGATATGCCTATGGATATATCGTGGGCGTTCAATGGAATACCGATTGATACATCAAAAGATACGGGTATTACGATCACCAGAATCAGCAAACACTTGAGCACTCTCAGCATCGACGGCGTTTCGGCCCGCCACGCCGGAGAATACGCTTGCTCCGCGTCGAATCTAGCCGGTTCTGTCAGTCGATCGACAACTTTGACCGTCAATGGTACGAGATATCCTGATCCTCTCTCTCTCTCTCTCTCTCTCTCTCTCTCTCAGCACGGTTCTAACACAATATAGATTCTCGCTGTATATAATCAATGTCCTATTCCTCAAGTCCACCTCCTTCCATTGAATCGTTCACCATCCTCGCTGAAAAAAATCTTTCGACGAAGCAAGTAAAATAATTTCCATCGCCATACCAACCCTATTTGCTTATCCACGTTGCGTTTTGACTGGATAATCTTAAAATTGACGTCATAATCGAGACGTCCAGAACGTTTTTTGAGTCGCTCATAACTAGAGGATTCTCGAGTATGTATGTACGTCGCATCACGAACCGACACTCTTTCCTCTTTCTTGTCTCGTTTCTCCCAGTTGCTCTTTCCAGTTGCCCCGCAAATACTGCCTTTCGATTTCGGAGATGAACCGGCCAGCTGGGGCGAACTTGTCTCAGTCACCTGTTCCGTCGCGAAGGGCGATCAGCCAATCGAAATAAGTTGGGCTTTTAACGGAACGCCAATTGACACTAGCGACTCTGACGTGGTGATAGGCAGCACGAACCGAAAGAACAGCGTCTTAACTATCGAATCGGTCGCGGCTAGACACGCAGGCGACTATACTTGCACCGCGTCCAATCGCGTCGGTGCCACCGCACACACAGCTCACCTGTCTGTAAATGGTACATGTACAATCGATTCTCACGGAAAGAAGTAAATGTACGCCTATCTTTGTCATGCATCATCTTCCTTATTTTCCTAACGCATCGTCCGAACGGTGGTAGTTGATCACTGACGTGTTCACGAATATTGTTGTGCAAACATTTTGTTTACAACGACATTTACAGCACATTATATACAATATTTGATTTTTTTACACAAACGTTACTAATTATAATTTTACTTAAATTTACTTTAACAAAGTTTTACTAATTTTTTACAATTTTTTACAATTGTTCTTTTTTCTTGTATATTTACAATTAAACACACACACGCACACACATACAAATACTTTATTTATCTCTCCTTATCGCCTTTCATTCTCTCATTGTATATCCTTCCATCTGTGTCGCCATGTCGTTCACGCAGTCGCGCCACAGATCCTTCAGTTTTCCTTCGGCGACGATCCCCTTAACTCCGGCGAGATGCTGTCGGTCTCTTGCACGATCGTGAAGGGCGACTTTCCCGTTAATTTGACGTGGACGTTCGACGACATCCCGATCGACTCGAGTCGGCCAGACGTTAATATCGTGAATAATAAGAGGGTCAGCTTCTTGAGCATCGACAGTGTGACGGCAAGACATGCTGGAAGATACAAATGTACTGCGACCAATGCCGCCGGATCTGACAGTCACACCGCAGTACTATCGGTGAACGGTACCGCGCTCGTATATGTAAAACTTACTGCTTTATTTATACCACACCTGTACAAACTTTCGTTATTCTCTTGTAACTTCTTGTATCTTCGCAGTAATATCAATTGAATAATCATTGCTCGCGCTCGCTCGGCGTTGTCGAGAGATAATAATCTTGCAAATGTAACGATCAGAAAAAATATATATAAAACATCTGCAAGATTATCGTCGAAGACAGCGAAGTGATAAGGTCCATCCCGCAGTGACAGCGAAACGATGGTCCATTTTTTTTTATTTAAAAAAATTTTTTTTATTGTCTTCCCGTATTGCTTAATTGTTACAGTGTTGTTCGATGTCCTCTGTTCAAAAATGTTCACTCCTTGTTTCCTCTTCGATATTTTCCTTTAGAAAATCCTGTTGATGCTGTTTTGTGAAAACCGTCCGGTTTGAATTTACTTTCCCCCGTGTTACCTTGTCGCAAATATTTCGGGTGCAACTCCGGAAACTTCCGCTGAGTGATTCGTGAATGCGCCCTTCGCGTTTGCAGTGGCGCCACAACTGGCGCCTTTCGCCTTCGGCGACGAAGCGGCCAATGCCGGAGAAATGGCGACTGTTCAGTGCGCCGTGATAAAAGGCGATCTACCCATCGACCTGGCCTGGTCGTTTAACGGACGTGTGATCGAGATCGCGAATGGCGCATTCAACGAACACAATTATGACAATTCCGACATAGTTATAAACAGGAGTAGCAAACGGGCCAGCACGCTGACGATCGAGTCGGTAGCCGCAAGACACGCGGGCGAGTACTCGTGCACTGCGAGCAACACTGCCGGAACCGCTACCCATTCTTCGGTTCTTTCGGTGAACGGTACGCTTGTCCTTGAGTTTGAATCAATGACGGTTGGGTGGTTGGTTGGACGCACGAATTATCGAGGGCTATATATATATGCTTCTTATAGTGCTTTATCGCACCCAGGAAAAATTGTACGGTAATGCACCGTAGCTTTGAGATGAAAACTGAATAAGAAACTCGCGCGTAGATGAATTTGATGCTTTAGAATGAATATTTAAATTTTATTTACATATTAGAAAATGCTTTGATACAAAAAAATTGCATCTCAAGAAAAAATCGAAAAAGACACTTTATATGAGAGAGCCGATTATCACTCCTGCGGTCTAATAATTTCCGTGCTTTTTCTCGCGCGTCGTTTTCGCTTTTATTCCGAAAGGTTTTATTATATGAAAGTAGTGGTGTTTCTGTGATTCTAACAGTACCACCGCGCATCGCCCCTTTCGAAATGGCCGACAAGGCGGTGAATTGGGGCGATTCCGTCTCGGCGGTTTGCACGGTGGTCAACGGGGACTCCCCGTTAGAAATTACGTGGGCGTTGAATGGAATGTCAATCGAGGAGAATCGTCATATATCCGTGACTACCACCAAGAGGAACAGCCTGCTATCCATAGATTCTGCAAGTCCGAGTCACGCGGGCACTTACACTTGCGTTGCCTCCAATGCTGCTGGCGCTACCACTTATTCCGCAGAATTGACAGTCAACGGTATCTAACGATAGCCATTAGAAAGGAATGTCGGTCTTGCCGAAATTGTTCCTCTCTTTCCTAGTTTTTCTCCTTTTTCTGTTCAACTTGCCTTGTCAATTATCAATTGCAATCAATTATCTATAACGAGAAAATTAATGACAGCTCAACAACAATCTATCCCAGCTATCTCTATTTTATTTCCCGTTCCTCTTTGAATAATTCTCTGGCCTTGCCGAGTTGCGTCGAGTGGCAATTGACGCGGTCCAAGAAGATTGACGGTATATATATAGATTAAAAAAAAAAAAAAAGAGAGAGAAGAGAAACACGTAGAATTCGTTGCAGTCGCGCCGCAAATAGCACCGTTCGTTATCACCGAGGAGCCAGCAAACTGGGGCGATTCCATTTCCGTTGTGTGCGCCATCCTCAAGGGTGACTTGCCGATCGAGATCACGTGGGCGTTGAACGGCGAGCCGATCCGGCCAGATCATTCGGACATTAATATCCTGGCGACGACGCGGAAGAATAGCATCCTCAGCATCGAGTCCGTGGCCGCGCGACACGCAGGAGAATATACGTGCTCGGCCTCGAATAAAGCCGGAGCGACCAGTCATTCGGCGACTCTAGCTGTGAACGGTACATCTCCACCGAGAGATTCCTCCGTGCATTTACCCTTGAACTCTCGCATCCCATTATCGTCCATTATCCGTCATTATCGTTCCCTCCAAAAAAAAATTGGATCGTCGATGGTCAATCCGCGGTTTCTTCAAAGGCGTTCATCAAATCGCAAATGACTGTGTTTAGTCGTGTTACGTCAACACAATTTTTATAGTTGATTTAGAAAATTAGTTGTCACATGATCGATCGTTTGTTGCACTTTAGTTGCTCCGGACATAGCGCCTTTTGTGCTCAGTGAAAAACCGGCGAATTGGGGAGAGACGGTCACCGCGACATGTACGATCTTAAAGGGAGATCAACCAATACAAATCGAGTGGGCGCTCAATGGCCAGCCGATCTCTCACGATTTTTCTGATATAACGATTGTTACCAGCAAACGTGTCAGTTTGCTCACGATTGACGCCGTTACGGCTAGCCACGCCGGAGAATACACTTGTGTAGCCAGCAACGCCGCTGGTGGGACGAGCTATTCCGCTTCCTTAGCCGTCAATGGTACAATATATGACGTTCTTCGAAGATATCTTTTTACATACTCTGGTGCATGTACGAGTTTAACTATTCACGTAGCTTGACATCAACACCTACACCTATTTCTTCCCAGAGGTCCCATCATCACGTTTCCTTCGTGTGTTCTTTTGGATTCGAACAAAAGTGCGACAGGCTGAATATTGACGATGTTTTTAAAACAATAAATTCAATTTTAGATTTAATCCAAAGTTTCTATTTAGAAATAATATCTCTAAGTGTTACCAAACATTATGGTCCGGCGAGAAACTACATTAAAATTTGACATCGACGTAAAAATGTAATTATGGCACATCTATTAGTTGCCCCCGAGATTATGCCGTTTGATTTCGGAGACGAACCAGCGAATTGGGGTGACACCATCACCGTAACTTGCACGGTATTGAAGGGCGATTACCCGATCCAGATCGAGTGGGCACTCAACGGCGAGCCAATTTCTCGAGATCATCACGATATATCGATAGTCAAAACCAGCAAGCGCGTCAGTCTGCTTACGATCGATGCCGTTACGGCTCGTCACGCCGGGGAATATACCTGCACGGCTAGCAACGTTGCTGGTGGAACGAGTTATTCCGCATCACTGGCCGTGAACGGTATATAAAGGTCTTCCCACATCTTGTATTATTTCGCGTAGCTTTTCTCACCTTGTCTCCCGTCGTGCATGTGCAAAGCGGTTTGTCATTACCCACGATTTCCCTCATTCCCTTTTTTTCTTTCACTCGGAACAGAAAAAAACAAAAAAAAAAAGTATCATTCTGTCGTGCTAAGAATGTCGTCGATATCTTTACCTTCTGTTTCAGCGATATTGAATAAGCACTTTTTGTTTTACAAAAAAGGCGCGTCGTTGGAGAAATAACTCTACACGCAAGACTGCGCGATAATATAATATTTTTGTAATGTATTTTTTTTTTATATATAAAAAAGATCGAGAAACAACGACGCACGAACGACGCAGGAACGTAGCTGATCTCGTCTTTGTTATATAATATTGTAGTTATGCCGCACATAGGGCCTTTCGCAATTAATGACGGGCCGGCAAATTGGGGTGACATGGTTTCGGCCACGTGTTCTATTACGAAAGGTGACTTTCCTGTAAAGATTACTTGGAGATTTAACGGCCATCCGATTAGGCCGGACGATCCAGATATCACGATCACGAGGATAAATAAACATATGAGCGCTCTCAGCATCGAATCCGTGGCCGCGAGGCACGCGGGCGATTACACGTGCGTAGCTACGAACAGAGCGGGCAACGTCAGCCATTCGGACACCCTTGCTGTTAACGGTACCTACATTATCTCTCCAGCAACACGCCTGCACGTCAGCTAAACGTTCAGCACTCGCCTAAATCCCCCACATCTCACTGCGATTTCGTATATTTTATAATTCATTCATGAAAAATCCCTCATCTCTTCGCGTAGTCTTTTAGTCTGTCACAATAAACAACACCTTTGCTCCCGATCGCCGTCATCATCATTTTCCGATTACGACCGTAAGGACGACCGTAAGGACGACCGTGTTTGTCGCGAAGATCTGTTTTTTTTTTTTTTTTTTTTTTATCGACGTGGGCAGAGTTTTACCGAGTTTTTATCTCACGCGTTTGTTGTTGTTCCGCACAATTGCAGTTGCTCCGCAGATATTTCCGTTCACGTTCGGCGACGAGCCGGTGAATTCGGGCGAGGCGATATCTGCTACCTGTTCCATTCTCAAGGGCGATTTCCCGATGGACATTTCATGGGCGTTCAACGGCGAGCCGATATTTCCCGAGACAGATCAGTTCTCAATCACGAAAGGAAAGCGTCTCAGCGTTCTGTCGATCGATGCCGTAGCGGCCAGACACGCCGGCGAGTACACTTGCACCGCGTCGAACAAAGCCGGAGCCTCTAGCCATTCGGCTGCTCTAGCCGTAAACGGTAACACCCGCGCATGTGTACACGAGTATCATACGTACATGCGAGACATCGTCTTGACTATTATATCCCGACGTCGGACGAAGACAAAAAACTCCCTCTCTATCCTGTCTTTTCATCCATTCCCTTCCTCGCTTTACAATCTCTTTTCAACATTCCCTCGCGCTTAGTCGAGTACGGGGGACGATGAGGACGCGTCCATCATCTGGCTTCACATAAATACACTCGCGGTGAAAATTTTGCGGCTCGCTATATAGAAATTAAGACAAGTGGTTCTTTTGTATAAATATATAAAAACAAATATATAATATTCTTCCAAAATAACACAATGCGGTAAAAATGCATATTAATCATCATTTTATCATAATTTTCTACAAAACATTCTGATAGGTGTGTATTCGTCGTTAGATGTTTCTTGTACATTGGTTTGCAAGACGTTCAGATTCAATAAGTCTTTAAACGAATTTGTCATGTCTTCGAAAATTATTTTTCAGTCGCTCCGCAAATAGCGCCGTTCTCGATCGGCGACGAACCCGCGAATTGGGGCGAAACGGTCTCGGCAATATGCACGATCGTTAAGGGTGACTTGCCAATTGAGGTGTCGTGGGCGCTGAACGGTGAACCAATCACCAAGGAAAATCATGCAGACGTGTCTATATCTAGCACCAGTAAGAAGATCAGCGTAATGGCTATCGAAGCCGTGAGCGCGAGACATGCTGGAGAGTATACTTGCACAGCCTCGAATGTGGCCGGAGCGACGAGCTATTCCGCCACCTTGGCTGTCAACGGTACAGCATTGCATGAAGCGAAGTGATGCCTTGCATTTAGATGAAACTGTTCTATTTTATTCCTTACAACGTGTAACAACGCGTAACACGACACCTTTCTGAAAAAAAAACACTCCCAGAGCGCGCGCGTGAGGTATTAATTGGCAATTGATTGAACGTACGAAAATCAATTCGTTGGAACTGAATTGTGAATATACGAAGTGAATACATTTGCTCGGAAATTTCAATTAATTACCGTTTCTCATCGGTTAATGGATATGCGTAATCGTTCGAGAACGTTATCATTGATCGTTTGTTTTGTGCGATTATTTCCAGTCGCTCCGCAAATCGCTCCGTTCTCCATCAGTGAGGAACCAGCTAATTGGGGCGAGCAAGTGTCTGCGATATGCAGTATTTTGAAGGGTGATTTACCTATCGAAATACAATGGAGC